TATCGCGTTTGTCGTCAGTTTGTGACGTTAAATGAATACCCCTATTGTAAAAAATAAATTTGTAAGGAAAAACTTTGATTTTGACGCAAGTAGTTGAAACTAATAATAATTTCTACTAGTCCGGATATATAGGCAATCTTCATTATCTTCCAAATTAGAAAAAACTTTGGAGTAAACGACCAGGGTACACAAAATTTAATTAAAATATAACTTTTTAATATTTGCTCCAATATCTTTACAGTTGGTTGACGCAAGTATTAACAGATTTAAGATTTTCTCCGGATTTCATTTAAATATGATAACATTTACCATATCCCGCCCCAAGAGCTGTGGGCGTGTCGGTACGTGGACCTTTGTCATTTTCCACTTTTAATATCGACGGCAGCCGGTTCGAAAAAGCCCTTTTTGAGAAAATGGCTCAAGAACGCCCTTCAGAATTTGGTCGAAAAACGCCCTTTCTCAGCTGCCGATGTATTATCTCAGAGAGCGTTTTCGAACCGACTTACGCGATAGGTCGATCTTCCAATCAGCCGTCGATAAACGGGGTTACTACTTTTTGCCGCAGCTTATAGGACGACGTCCCACTGTGCAACTATCCATGCTAATGCGTACTAACATCGGCTTAGTGGCTAAAACGTTTTGCGAAATCCAGTCCCACATTAGTCAATTATGCGAAGCAACAAGTAAGTCGTAAACAACAAAGAAATAGAAGTAACATAGCAAAAGCTTTGTATTTGTTATTGTATTTTTTTGTATGTATATTTTATTGTTATTATTTATATATTACGTACATACTCGTACAATTCATACATATGCACATAATCATATAGCACGCTCGTGTACCACAGTAGTTTGTTTCGTAAATAGCGCTGTTTTCTTTTACAAGGTAGATACATTATAAACTATATAGTTCTTGTTTACTAACTTTATAAAATATTTACATTGTCCTACCTACATACATATATGTGCATATGTATGTAGTATAATTAAAAGCATCGCATCTTTGATGCATTTAGTCGTAACGCGTTTTGTAATTGCTTTAATTTAAATTTTTTATTTTTCTTTTCATTAAACTTAAATACCTATTTTTTCTCATCGATTATGATTTCATCACCCGCTTGTATGTTATAGCTATATAAACGCTTATTTGGATACTTCATTAGTTCTGGTCCGAATTCTTTAAAGTCTTGATCTACATAGTACAAACGCATTTTGTTCGACGGCAAATCGATTAACTTCTCTAACCGCGTCTTCAGATCGGCCACTGTGCAATAGACATCGAGCAAACGTGTTTCCGTTTTATCCCTATATGTAATGAATACTTTTAGGCGTTTATCAGGCTTAAGATTTATGTCAACTAACGGATCCAGCTTGCCATGTTTAGCTACCAGTTCATCATAGCGCTTGGGTCGCTCCCAATCCGGTTTGTCCATGTAGTGGCGTATAAAAGCGCGCTCTGCATCCTCGCGTTCGTCCGCGCTGATCACGCCGCCACCGTTGAGTAGGCACACATTCGGCAAACGTGCGATTAGCAGCTGGCGACGTTCGTGTTCGGTACACTCGAGTCGCTCCCAGAGTGGCCAATTCTTTACGCGTAAATTACGTAATTTCGGGAATTTCGCAATCTGATCGATATCGTCCCAGGCGCTAATGTTCGAGTAGCTGAGATTGAGAAAGAGCAAATTGTGAAAATGCTTGTGCGGACATTCAGCTTTGTTGGACATTTCGACATCATCTTCGCAGGCGGTTGTGCAGTCTTCGTCGGTGTTGTTGTTGGCGGCGGCGGTTGTGCTGCTGCCATTCCCGCTATTGCCTACATTGGCCTGTATGGCTTTGATGGGACAGTCGGCGAGCACCAAATTTTCGAGGCTGGGAAAAACGCGTCCCAAGCGGCAAATCTCGAGCCAACTTTCGACTGGATTGCCGGTGAAGTGTAACGTTTTCAACTTTCTATGTGGTCGTATACGCTTGCGTTTCGATTCTGTATAGCTGCCTGTGGGTGAAGTTGGTGTTGGCGGTGGTGTTGCTGGCGTTTCTGTTTCTGTTTCTGTTTCTATCTCTCTCTCTGTTTCTGGTGCCTCAGCTGCTGTCGTCCCTGCTGCTGACGCTGCCGCTGCCGCTGTTGTGGCGGTTAAATTGTGTGAATCACTTTGTTTGTTGTCGTTACGCTCGTTGCGCTCGGTAACCTCGCCATCTGCATGCGCAACGCTTACCACCTCTCCCCCAGCCACATCTTCATCACGCTCGGCAAACTCAATCGAATCAATGAGCACTTCTTTGTAGTCATTTAAACTCAAATGTAATTCCTCTAACAATGGCAAATTATCCAACAACACTTCTACGCTTGGCCAGTCCAGGTAAGTACCATTTAGCACCATACTTTTAAGACTATTCGTCGGCAACGTGGAGGGATTGCATATTGGACCGACCAAATGATTTTTGCTCAAATTGAGGAACTCCACGCGCGGCATGTGTTCGAGTATATGGAAGACCTCTTGCCAGTCATTTAGCTTATTCTGCGCCAAATCTAGTTCACGTACGCGGCGACATTTCTCTTTTATGGCTTCGAAATCACCCGCACAGTCAATGTCACAGTCGTTCAATACCAACAACTCGGGCACGCAGAGTAGCGGTGGCAAGCGCGGTATGTAGATGGATATAAGGCCCTTTTCTGCCTCAGCAGCTGTGTCGTCGCCGTTCAAATTCTCTAATTGACAATCGGTGAAATATTTTCTTTCCAATGCTTCCAGTAGTGATGGCATGCTGATGGCTGATGGCGTTCACCCGTATTTGAGCGTGTGCCTGGTGTGCAACAAAGGCTACTACAACGGATATCTAAGCTTCTACAGCTACCTCTATGACGATGGCTACGATTACGATTACGACTACGACTAACACTACAAGCGCTCTTCCTGTTCCAGCGGCTGCAACTTTGGCTGCTGCTGATGCTCTGGCTATACCTCCCAAATATTCCTCGTCTGCATGCACTCGCTCCAGCAAAGGCAATGGCGGCGACGACGACGACGACGACGCTTGAATCGTGGCCACTTGAGTTTTGGTACATATGAGCAAATTGCATTCGGGGCACTCGCTGCACGGCGAAGGCAATCGCTTTGTTGGTGTTTAATATGCAAGTTTTTTGTTTTATTATTTTTCGTTATGGCTTTTGTTGTCTCACTTGAAAATGTGCAGTCAAATCCCTTTTTCACGTTTTGTGTTGCTTTTCTTTAATATCCTCTGCTTTGAATTTGTTTTCGACTTTAGCAGCGTTTTGTTTAGTAACGAATTTCGATTTTATGACTTTTTCATTTCTCCAATAAAGTGTTCAAGTTTTATGTGATGTAATTTTCATCAACAATAGAAAAATGAAACAAAAAATTTTTAATTTCTATTGCGCACTAATTTAATTTTGTAAAGTTGTGAACAAAGAAAACAAATGTAGACTAAATTGCTGCTCACTGCTGCCTTCACTGGTTCACTGGCTCACTGACTGTTTGGTGCCTGCGCTGCTACAACATCCACTGCTATTTTCTGTTTCCGTAGCTTTTTGATTCGTTATTTTTATTGTTTTGTTGTTGTTGTTTTTGTAATTGTACTACAGTATTTTCCACTGTACACCGCTCACAACCCTGTGTCATTTGCAGTTTTGCGCTACTCGTTGAGCGCTTCGTGCTGGCGTTTGCTCACCTAAACAGAGAAACAGACGGGAGAACCAGTAAATTGTCTGTATTCTGGCTTTTTGTGTAGGTCGCTAGTTGTTTGACTGGCTTTTTATTAAAGAACAGGGGCGCCGCCACAACCACCACCGAGGTTGTGGGATTTTCAGAAAATCAGCTGCGCAGTGCTAGTGTCAAAACAAAGAACAATTTGTTGGCAGAATGACAGGGAGACAGGGAGATAGGGAGAGAGAGAGAGCGTGAGAGCGCGATAAGCATTGTAGTTAGTGGTTAGTACACGACCGTATTGTTATAAAAAACATAAAATTATGAAAATTTACCTGCAAAACTACATAGAGGCGTCTTTAATTCGTTTTCTTATCAACATTTTTTTTTGCTTATGTCTATTTATGATTCATTTTTCTTTAAATTAATCTTTTTTTGAACCCTGCATTTCAACAGTCAAAGAGATAACGGTTTTGAAAAACAGCTACATACATTTTCTTCGGATCAATCATTCGGTAAGATCCGAGTATGCAAAAAACTATCTCTCTCTTTCCTTTAAAAAAGAATTATAGAAATTGGTAACCTGGTCCAAAGTTATGCGGTAACATACATACAAAAATAGAATAATATTCCGACGAATTGATAACCTCCTCATTTTTTTTTGAAGCCGGTTAAAGCAAGGTGTCTAATGGAAATATTTCCTAAGAGTTATTTTAATTCTACGAAAAAAATTTGCATTTTCATTGCCGCTTTCTCTTTTCGTGTTCGATTTTAAAACAAAGGCAAACCGGTGAGAAAACTCTGTGTTAGTTCCTTAAAATTTCAAACCCTTGTAAGGCAAAATATGCACCTTCTCTGCTCTTTGACTCTTTTGAGGGGAGATAACTGCCGTGAAAATCAGATGGTTGCTTAAAACTAAAATATTAGCCCTGTTCCAGGTGATTGGCGATTTGCAGGATTTACAGGAAAAGCTTTTTT